CAGTGTCATCCCCTCCTCCGTCGCCGCCTCCCCTTTCCTTTCGGCTCCTTACAACCTCTGCTGGAGCTTCTCTCCTTCCTCCTTCAATCTTTGCCGCTCCATCTCCTTTCTGTTTTGGGCCACAACCTTCTAACGCAGGGAGATTTATTTTTCTTCCAACAAAATTTGTCTCTCCCTTTCGTCTTCGGCCCTTTCCAACCGGGCTACGAAATCTTTTTGTCCGTCCTCTGTCCCCGCCGGCAACTCAGCGTGGAAGCCAAACTCTTTCACCCACTCCTCATCATCACCCTGATATACTTCAATGTGGGCAGCTGTACTAGTCTCTGCACCACCAGTTTTCTCTTCCTCCTCCTCCACCTCAACTTCCTCCTCAATGATCTCTCTCGATGCCTCTTCCAATTCCTTCTGCAACCTCTCCTCCATCTCTTTCTTCTCCTTCTCCATTCTCACCTTCTCCTCCTCCATCTTCTTTCTTATCTCCTCTTTTTCTTTAATTTTGGCTGCTTTTCTGTCCCTCTGTTCCTGCAGTTTCGCCTGCATCCTCGCCTGTTCAGTGGTGGTATACGGTACAGGACTAATTCCTGATTTGGTGGTCACAGCCACCCTGCAGACGCGCGTGACGCCCAATGGAAAGATTAATCGGAACAATGGTTCCCAGATCACGGAAAGGGCCAGAAAAGTAAGCATGGGATAGTTGTCCATGGTGAGTGATGGCATAGGTATGTATGACTCCGCCTCCTCGCCAGTTAGACTTAATCCTCAACACCTATCTTTTCTAATTCGGAGTCAGACTCTAATCTGACGGGACTGACACCTACCTTACTTGACCAGCAGTAGCCGTCACCAAGGAATTTTGTGAAAACTTCACGAAACAACAAAAAAGGTCTAACAGGCAGGGTTCAGGGCAGAAAGCACTTCACTTCGGTCTTCACGGTGCCGCTCCCCACCGATCTTGATCTGCTGCAGGTATGTATCTTCCGCTCCAAGCTTGGTTCAGCACCTTTTTTATCTTTCTCGCCTGCTACAGTGAAACCCCGTCATGAACACACCCGCTGGCCTTATGGTTTGCCGGCTTTCTTTCACCACCACAGTGCAACGGGTAATTGCTCCGATACCAGTGCAAAGATCCTGATCATACTTGCGGCGCACTTCTGCGGTGCGCCGTGTGGTGCGCGTGCGCCATGCACAAAATAGTGATGTGCGGATCATGC